GTGGGAATGACTATAATACTACTATTTCTTGCCTTATCCTGCCTCTTATTCTATACTTTAGTGCATGTCTCTGCTATGAATATTGATATACAATCATCCAAGCTCCGAAACTTATCCCAAAAGCAACTTATCACTAATGCCAGGTGAACATAAAATGGATTTGTTTGGTTATCAAGATTTGCTAAAAAAATAATTTCTAAATTTTGTTCTGCTTGCATCATAAACGTAATTTTTTAATTACTTTTTTTTTTTCATTTCATATGTATCACATTACAAAAAGTGTTACAATATTATTCCAAATAATCTTTGATCCAAACGGACCCATTAATATGGTAGAACTAAGCAAATGTGTTCCATTCCTGTAACATTGTATATATAGGATTTATGTTTATGTTTGGTTGTTAGCCTGTAAGTAACATATTTATTATTGTATATAGGTGGTTGATAGATATATTTGAACTCTATATATTTATTGTTAATTTTTTAAAATTTATGTTGATATCCAAAATCGGATTTCCAACTGTTGTCATTATTCTTTTGCTACTATGTCACAAACAAGCCTTGAGATAAAGAGCGTAATTGCACAAGGTGATCTGGAATTATAGACAAAGCTCAATGATATATAATCGCAACCCAAAATTAACCCAAATTCTGAACCGACTCAAAAGGCCAGAAGAAGAATATGACAAAGGATATACCTTAAGGGTCTCGAGGGTCTTAAGCAAAAAGTGGCATCACTTCTGGATTGCTTTATATCTGTACATCTTTCTCCACGTACGTACACAGAAAGAAAGGCTTAAAGCTACAAAGGCAAAACATTACCATAAGTCAGGATCATGCAGCCTCGAATCTCCCGCATTTTCCCAAGCCATTTAAGGGGCCTTTTCTGATAAAAGCAGCCCTACATGGAGCCATGGAATGCGTAAAAAGCAGGCATAATCAACGGTATATCCGAAGGCATAAAACCCTATGCCATATGCTATCTTTCTTCAACCCCCCTTATTCGATTTCCAGAAGACAGGGAAACCCAAAGAGTGGCTATATATAAATCTAGACTTCAGTTTTGGTCCTTCAAGGCATGTAAGAAAGAGTGAGTCCATCCCTTGACTGAAGAAAATATATAAGCGAGCCAGTTTTAGGGCAGATCTCCTCTTGGCAGTTGATGGAGTACTGGTGCCATGTAAATCTTCGTGCCAACTTCTTCGTAACCTGCCAAAGGAGAGTTGCCCTATAACTCCCTCAGCTTAACATAACCCCTTTCTTGCTGCTCTTCATGCAAAGACAAGACCACGATCAAACGGGAAGACTAGGCATTATCTTTAACTCTGCCTAGCTAGTCTAATTAAGAAATCTAGTTGTTTCCTTAATTCATGTGTGTCTCTGAAGCTCTGAAAGTCTTACATGCAGTTCATTGAGAATTATGAATTATGGAGCTCGAAGATTGCACGGATTATCGTTTCATGGTAAAAGTTTGTTAATTTTCAAGAAACCATTTGGATTGACAGTTCCAGGTACGTAGCGTCCCAACTTGTGTTGCAGGGCAGGCAAAGATTGTTGTGGGTGGTACGCTAGGAGTTTGGTGCAGGTACGGTTAGCATTAAATGCGCTTCATATGATTGTTATATTTTTTTTTTTCATAATTTAGTGTACATTCACATAATTTTAATGTATTTTTTAACGTACGATAAAAGTTTTGTAAATATACATCAAATTATGAAATACAATAAATTCACGTGAATATACACCAAATCATAAAAAAAGTATAATAATCGCACTAATTCTACCTAAAACTAACTCTACGTGCTGTATTCCCTGCATGTTAGTAACCTAAACATGTCCTAGACTTCCAAATGTACCGTTTCAATGTACTTCTGGACTACCAACTTACCATACATATGGTTTTCTTGTGTAATGCTTCTTTTGCAACTTTTTTATTTTTGTGGATCTTTAAATACATGGAAAGGAAAAAGAATTAGAGTAAAATCAGACTCCTGATTTGAGGAGACTTCGTTTTTGAGATATAAGAAGAGAAAACATGAATTATAGAATACAAAGAAGCAAATACGCTATAGTTAAGCACAAAAATAATCGATTAGTTCTTCGAAGATTCAATTACGATAATATAAACATTTTCGCGTAAGGCTTTAATTTGTCATGAATATCTTTTCATAACAATTTAATTTCCCTTTTCCCATTTCATGCTCATAATCTAGTCCAGTCTCCTCCATCTTAGGTAGCCAACTTGTGTGGATTTATAGATCAAAATTTTCAACAATTGCCAACTCCACCATTCAGTAGAAATGTGTATATGGAGGATAACAAAAGGAGGAGATAAGAAAAAAAAAAAAAGGAGATATAATTATTTAAGCTAGGATATAATAATTGGATGAAAGGAAATGAGAAGTTAGGAGTATTTATAGGGCAAGTGAAATATCTTTAACAATGAAATGTAACTATATATGAAATTGAGAACATATTTACGAATTCGATTTTCATTTCTCAAGCATTTACATATGAAAATACACAAATTACATGTTCTTGATGTTGCCTAGAGTATGACAAAATGTTCTAAGCTTATCATTTTGGTCTCATACCATCTAAATTTGCTATTCTAATCCCTCTTGCATGTTCATATTTCCTGCTTCAAGTTTTCATACCAGACAAAATTGATGCTAGATATGAAAGTTCGTTTAGAATGTTATGAGATGAAACGGTATCGTATATTGGGTCACCGCATACAAGTATTATTTCTTCTCAACTTGGTCAATCAAGAAAGTTTTCCCATGACATTTTAACGTTTCAAATGTTTGATTTGATGCATTTTCAGTCATTAGTGTAAATTTATTGAATGAAATCATTCTTTCTATCCCAAAACAAAAACAAAAAAAAAAAACCTTTTAGGCTATCCAAGTTATTGAGTAATAAAGATTTCGACCGAAAGCAACCATCTGATGTCATTGTTGGTAGCTGCCATCAACAAGTTGAGATGGCCGAGTTGGTCTAAGGCGCCAGATTAAGGTTCTGGTCCGAAAGGGCGTGGGTTCAAATCCCACTCTCAACAGTGATAATTTTTTTTTGGCTGCTTATTTTGCGTCATGTCTCCAGTTGGACATCATGGTCCATAGGTGATATTCTTTGATCAGTAACATTTTGTCCACTACCAGCTCCACCAATCTCTAAAGCAACATCATGACCTGAGTTCAATCCATCATCCAAAGAATCTTCACAGCATTTTCACCTTAAAGACTTGTTCTACAATCAATCACGCTGCACTCGCCCTTATATATTGCTATTTGCCTGCTCCACAGGCACCAAAGTCAAATATATTCATAACATCTGGAGTATTTTGGTAACTAATCATTGTTCATTTTGGTTTTGATTTATCGCCAATGTCAAAATATAAACTTCTAATGTCAAATGGTGGAATAACATGTCCCGGTTGTCCAAAACATGTCCTGAAAGTCTACATTTCCGGTTTGCTCTCGCAACCCAAGAAAGGCATGGAAAGGTACTGGCCGTAAGGAAGGAATTTAGCATTTGACCCAGAGATTACATCGCAATGTACGTTCTCTCTGCATGAAGGCATAAGGTTACCAATACTGTTTTTTTTTTCCCTTCAATTTTGGAACTGAAATTAGTGCTTGGACAAGCCCAAATTGGTGAAATTGAATTTAAGCTAAATTATGAAAACAATTGGATTAATGCAGATAAGTAGATATCCTCCCTCTGACACGGCTGACAGGGAGATATATGTCTGACTCGTTATAAAAAAAAAAAAAAAAAAAATCTTCTATACAACATAAGAGTTTATTATATAGGGCTTATAAGAAGGGATGTTTCGATTCTATTTAACCATAATTAACAGCAAACCGTAGGATCCAAAATGATCGTCATCATCATCATCATCATTAAGGTGTTCCACTCTTGACTTGACTGAATTCCTCATCTTTTGGGCTCACGTGAATCCCTCATGTTTAGGGCTATTTGAGTTTGATTCAGGTGGGCAGGATGGGAGCTGGGTTGAAGCATTTATTAATGATAGAGACCCATAACGTGAAAATTTGTCAAAATTAATGCCAGCCTGGTGATGTACTGATGTTACAGTTCAGATATAATATTTTTTTTTTCCTTTGCCAAAAAGACGTGCAAAATATGCAAATTGAGAATGATGTGTGTGTGTGTGTGTGGAATTTTTCAAATCAATAGCCATACATGTATTCTTCTACAGCTTTTTAGTGCATTCGTAGCTGGATGAATTCTTTTCCTACTGTTTTCTTCTGAAAATTGACACAGTGAACTGATTCTTTCTTAGATAAATATTTGTAGTGTAAGCTACAAAACAAATTCAGGGAGAGGGGTTAATTATTGGTGTTATGTGGCTGTGATAAACGATGAGTACAATAATGAACCATTCTTGTGAAAGCTTCAAGCTGATCTGCATGGCTGTATAGTGCCGGCCACTACAAAAAATGTTTGTAGGCTTTCCACTTGTCCTTTGCTCCGCTCCAGCAGCTCAACAAAGATGCTCTATATCAAGTTGCTTTCCTTATCTTACGTGAAACACTTGCAACCATTCCATGCGTAAGTGGCTAAGAACTAGTCTTTGGTTTACTCCAAATGAAACAAAATCAGAGACTAATCTGATAAGAGCATGTGCTGGGCTATACAATGTGATGGTCCTAACTTAACTTTCTCTGTCTGATCGAAATTATATGAACCAATGCCTGGAGGTGTAAAACATCTCAGTGCATGTTGACGAAGACTTTCAGCTCTCTGCATCACTCTATGGCCATGTTAATTGTTACCTACACAGATGGCTCTTGATGCAATTGACGCGTTCGTTGTTTTCTTTTCAATATTTGCTTAGAGATGTGGCTGTGCTGATATGTTGAGTTTGTGTATTTTCCCTAAAATTTACTATCAAATCATGTAAAAACAAAATACAATAATCGCACAAAAATCTCAACGGTACCTGTCTCAAATCCCAAAGAAACATGGGTGGCTTAGGAAGTTTTAAGCATCCAATCAGGTGGAGATTTCAAGTCCCATGATACAATTTTTGCATAACTGTATACATGTCTAAGTAGTACTTGCACAAGAAACTTATATCCTGACAAATATTCGGCTTCATAAGATTTTCCTCCGGGGAGGTGCCTGTTAGCCGGAGAACTTTCTAATCCGCCTTTAATGGAAATGAAAGAAAATGTACATTATACCCCTCACATGATGGTTGACAATAACAAAGAAAGGTGATATTGACCGATTTATCTCAGAGTACAAAGAGTAAAGGAAAGAAAGCACTAAACGCCCCGTATACGACATTGAGATGTGAGAGGGAAGGCACTGCAATCCATGGTAGACATGGTCAATCAGCATATGCTGGAAAATTCGCCCCTGCGGTAACGCATTCAATAACCATTCCAGAAACTTGCACATATGAAACTTTTTTCTGCTGCATTAGGTGAGTTATTTATCACAAAGTTAGATGGAAAATAAGGGAAAACAAGGAAAAGGGAGTGCAGGATTTGAAGTCTGAAAGAAATTGTAGAACTTAAAGAGCGATATGGAAGTACCTTGCGTCAGAGAGGCCTCAAAAGCCTGTTCAAGTTGGTGCTCAAATCCTTGTCTTCGCCTGCCGGAGGCCCCTACTCCCACTTCCGAGTTTACTAGAACTGCCACCACTCCCAAGCAAGATTTCTTTTCTGCAATTTGTTCCTCAATCCGACCAGACACCTCGTTTACTAATCACGAATCTCTCCCTCCATGGAGAGAATTGTATTCCGACCTTAAAAATTCCTTCCGGCAATACTCAAATACAGATTCGGTTGACCAAATTAGATCACAAGAGTACTATCATCTCTCTCTCTCAAATCATGTCTGCCTGGACTACACTGGCAATGGCCTTTTCTCACATTCCCAGCAACAGAATTTGTATTCTGGAGCTGCAATTGCCTCTACTTCTTCATCTCCTCCACCACCACAAGATTCTACCGCTTCAGAAGTACCTTTTTTTGATATTTCATACAAGTCCGTCAATTTGATCTCTCTGCTACGTTACGGTGGCGAAAAATCAGAGTTTGAATTGGCAATGAGAAAAAGGATCATGAAATACATGAATATCTCTGAAGATGATTATTCCATGGTTTTCACTGCTAACCAGGCCTCCGCTTTCAAGCTTTTGGCAGATTCATATCCCTTCCGGACTAATCACAAACTTCTTACAGTCTATGACTACAAGAATGAAGCAACAGAAGCAATGATTGAAAGCTCCAAGAAGCATGGAGCCCGAATATTGTCAGCTAAGTTCTCATGGCCTAGTTTGAGGATAAATGCAAAAAAGCTTAGGAAGATGATCCGTAAGAATAAGAAGAAGAAGAAGAAGAAGAGGGGGGGATTATTTGTCTTCCCCCTGCAGTCAAGAATGACTGGAGCAACATATTCTTATCAATGGATGTATAAAGCGCAAGAAAATGGTTGGCATGTCTTGCTTGATGCAGACGCGTTAGCAGCCAAGGAGATGGAGACGTTGGGGCTAACTCTGTTTCTTCCTGACTTTATCGTCTGTTCATTCTTCAAGGTGTTGGGGGAAAACCCTTCTGGTTTTAGCTGTTTATTCGTGAAGAAGTCTAGTATCTCAGTGCTAAACAAATCCTCCACAAGCATTGGTGTTGTCAGTCTTATCCCAACAGGAAACCTTTTTAGACAATCCACTATCTCTGAAACAGAAAGTAAAGATCAAATTGTGACCTTAGGAATGTTGTTCAGGAGAGAGGAAGCAGGATTGCTTAGCTCATCCTTTAGCTCAAGTGAAGAAGCCTTTGAATTGCAGGAAGTTAAAGAAGATGGCAGCAAAACTCAGGAGGAACCATCATTTTCCGAGTTATTAAAATCAGATAAAAGGGTTGTCTCAAATGATGCAAGTCCCAGTGGTATAAGAAGCTCAGAAACGATTGAATGCAGGGGATTAGATCATGCAGATGAAGTAGGCCTAATTGTGATCAGTAGCAGAAATCGGTACCACATAAACTGGCTAGTAAATGCATTGCTGTGCCTTCGACATCCACATTCAGAAAATGGGGCAGCCTTAGTTAAAATCTACGGACCAAAAATAAGCATTAACCGAGCACCGGCTGTGGCTTTCAATGTATTTGACTGGAAAGGAGACAAAATCGATCCAATTCTTGTACAGAAGTTAGCTGACCGAAACAATGTTTCTCTTGCATGCGGATTCTTGCAGCATGTGTGGTTTGAAAACAATTATAAGGAAGAGAAGCAGAAAATATTAGAGAAGGAAAACACTGAAAGAAGAGAAGTGGAGCACAAAAAAAAGGGAGGTCAATTTGATTCGGAAATTTCTGTTGTCTCAGCTTCTGTCAGGTTTTTGACCAACTTTGAGGACTTGTATCGGCTCTGGGCTTTTGTTTCCAGGTTTCTTGATGCAGATTTTGTGGAAAAAGAAAGGTGGAGATACATGGCTCTTAATCAAAAAACGGTTGAGGTGTAGACTAAGTTATCAACTTTTTGATTCTTTTATGCTACCCAGAGAAGAAGTTGTTCATACTTTCCAACAATTCTTTCCCTTGATTTCACACATGAATTGTTTACTCCTATGATTGCCTGACTACAAGAATATACTTCAGAAATTCAGCAATGATTAATTACATTTGGTAGCAGAAGCTTAATTCTTGTCATTGCTCAGAAATGCCAGCTGAAGAAGGATGCTCATGAGCTCTAACACTACTTGGTAGTCCTCTTGAAATTGCAGCTCTCTCCGTAATCAAATACTGAGGAATTTACTCTATTATCGGCACATCTTCTGTTAGTATTGAGATGCCATAATCAAATATTGGTCCAATATCTAATAGTACAGTGATTTTACCCCCAAAAAAAAAAAAAAAGTACATGCACCTTAATTTGCAACACGTACAAAAGTAATTTGTGGGTTATCCACACTCAATCCATGCTATATATAATAAGTTTTGATAATTTGATAGGAGCAGGTGGGATTAACTGATTGTTTGAAAATCTTGGTATGAAATGCTTATGGTGTCAAACTAAAATAGATCTAACGTTTGCTACAAATCAAAATCTATATGACATGGAAATCAGTTGTAGGTCTTGTGATCTTATTTAAAACTTATTGCGTTGGTCAGCAAAACTTCTCAATTTGATTGTCCAACTTTTGAAGCAAGTCTTCCGCACACAATGGTTGATCCATCGTTTAATGTGGACGTTCCCAAATCCACACGTTGCATTAATGGCTCTTATTATTTATGTCCGTCGAACCGAATATGTTGATGATGCAATCAAATAAATTTTTGTAAATAAATAACTATCCAAACAATCTATCGATAGAATCATGATAGTTCAAGTGGAAAAATATTAGGTACATGACGCAATCACCATCATCAATTCTTAGTAAGTGATTGGTACTAATGTTATGTCATACCATGCACATATTTATTCGATACAAAGTATTATGATGAATATTAGAAGATGAATGATTTATTTGGTGACAGTTTATTGGCACCGGTGTGCGCCATATTATCATAGACGGAACTAGAAAATTTATCTTGTGGGACAAACTTTACTCTACATGTACTTAATTCTGTAACGTAAAATGTTTTTTTAAGTTTTTGCATAGGCCAAAAAAAAAAAAAAAATCTAACAAATCCATTCCATTTTTATACCATGCAAAAAAGGAGTTGATGAATTTCAGAGTTTTAAGACGGCAGCCTGCAGCCTGCACCCTTCGCCCTGTTACCTCCGCCATCGCATCCCACATTGAAGCAACCAATGTCTGGTCAGTAGTGATTCAAAGGAGAAGAAAACAAAACTGCATCAGTACAGCCGTCAGGAGATGGATGATCACTGGAATTGAGGGCTTGTTCAAGTCGTAGGACTTTGTCTATTTTGTTCCAATGCACACAGATTATGTATACAAAAAGGAAGATTCTCCAGTTTTTGGATTTTCCTATGCTCAAATCAGATTTCTTTTGCATATTAGAATATGCAAAAGTGGGTTCTTTGGGGGTTATTCAAATTGGTGTCAAATTAAGGGACGATTTTCTGGTTACACATTCCACTTCAAGAACTGGAAACTCTCATACGGAAAATGCAACAAATGTGTGAGTATGTTATAATCGTGACCAAAAATAACTATAAAAAACTGATGGTTGCATTTAGGCATATGATTGCATTTCATAAGCATGAAAACAGTAGCAGTTAAAAACGTTCATTTTATAATGTTAAAGTGTGGGCAACCATCAAGAATTTCATGAATATTGCAGTTAATTCTTTTTATTATACCATCCACAACGTAATGAAAATTTTACCTAGAACGTACCACAGATTTCAACAAAGAGAAAGCAACAACTTGTTTGGATTGCATTTTTTTGAACTGTTTATAGAAAAATTACTGCAGCGATTTGATATATGTGAGGTAAAAAGGTAATTGAAAAATGTGTTCATGGATAAAAAAGGTGATTGCATTTTCCAAACACACATTTTTCAATAGAAAACTTGCCAGGAAGATGTAAGACTTAATTGTTTTATTTTTTTTTTCCCCCTTTTTGGGGTCATGAAAGAATGCGCAAATTTATTTGTCAACTAAATCGTTCGTTCTTTTTAGAGGTACTGTCCATTTGGTGGATCCAACTGAAAAATCCCAAATAGCTCCTTCAGCTAAAAAAGCATTGTAGCCCAATTCCAAAGAGTAGGTAGACCGAGAAAAAACGTGTTTTCTAAATTAAAAAACCTGGGCCGTAACATAGGTAGTTAGTGACAATCAGATTTAGTTAATTAGTCTATTCCGTATTTTGACTCTTAAATATCGAATTTGGGTCGAGATAGTAATTCTGGGAATCGAATGGCCGACAACACAGGCCCTTTTTAGACATTGACAACACAGGCCCCGAAGAACCCAAAACAATTTTGTGGGATTTTCGCCTTGATTGGGTTTCTCCCCTCGTGAGCATACCAACGATTGATAGTTCCCATGATGATTCGAATACACATCAATTCTCTGAGTTCCATTTTCATCTGTTACATTTGAATGTATTCGAGGTTAAATCATATCATTTTGAAGTATGTTCTTTCAATGCAAAGTCGAAGAAAAGAAAAAAAAATTGTTTATATAAAACGAAAAAATTGCAATTTTTCTTAGTTTTACTTTTTGTATCCTTTATCTCAAAATAATGAATTGAGCCGGTATGGGCGTTTTGGATGCTGCTATTGAAAGAGCCCTTCTAGTTATATATATATATATTTTCGTACTCAACCCATCTTATAAAGTATTCGACTGTTCGTCTGGTTCTGGACGGGTCATTGCTATAATTGTTAGTATTTTCATTTTCTCCAGTGCAGCTAGCTGTTACTATGATGATCCTGTGCATGCATCAGTCTACTACATTACTTATAGTTTTTGCTGATTAAGTTTCGAGTACTTTGGCTCATGTGTTTTTTTTTTTCCCCCATTTTTTTACAAGCTGTTGTACCAACTCAAATAATAGTAATCTTATGCTCGTAATAATTATAATGCTGGCCAAGTATACATTCATTTAGGAAAAAGGCTAAATTGTATTTCACAGCCTGGGACGTAGAATTATTAGGTAGAGCTCTCAAAAGTTGGTGTAAACAAAGATGCATATATTATTATACCATATCGGTGTAACGAAGACCATCTAGCATGAATGAATATTGTTGCCCGACTCGGCCATGGCAGTCAAGGACTCGATTCCATTTCTTGAAAGCATCCATTTGTGTCCATCAGGAAGTTTTCCAGCTCATAATTTTCAATGGCTAGTTTGTGAGGTGTTTCTGGATTGGGAGCAGGTCTCAAACTTGGCTATGAATCTGTAGTTTCACAAGACACCCGTAAGGGCATTGGTATCACTATGGTCTGCCTCGCAACAGTTCAGGTACCTATTTTTTTGTTTCCATGCTTGGATGGGTGTTCTTAGAAATCTTGTAACACTTTCGATCTTACGTAGACTCATTTTAAGATAGTGTTACATTAAAACTATTCCAGCAACACTCTAAAAATCTGCCATCCAAAGGGAGACTTTTTTTTTTTTTTTTGTTCATAGCTTTGAAATTTGGCTTCATTACAGAGTATCGTGGCCAGTTTCTAAAATTAAATAACTACCTTTACAAATTAGTAGGAAAAAGAGAGGATTCCCTCTAGGTAAAATGTAGGAAATCAGCATATACTCAAAGATTTCATTATCAATTATTCATTAATACAGATAACTACGCTGCAAGGTGCTACATATCTCTCGTTTTCTTTTCTTTTTTTTTTTAAAAAATTTCCTCTTTCTTTAATTAGTTTTGTTGGCTATGTACTTGTAGGTATTCGCCTTGCTATTGAGGCCAAAGCCAGATCCTAGATTTTATTGGAACATCTACCACTATGTTGTTGGCTACACAGTGATTATTCTCAGCCTGAAAAGAATTATACATTGGTATAATTATAGGAATTGGAGCCATGGCAGCTGCCCTTGCAGCTTTCACATGGTTTATTGTCTTGAAGAGAAAAAGGGAAGGTGATAGCTCAATTAATAAGTACCCTTGTAACTCCAATGGTGTAAGTGGAGTTAATGGCTATGGGGCCAGGATACAGCAAGGAGTGTAGCTGATGTTCACATTGATGTGTACTTGACTCTCGGACTTGTTATTTCTTCACATGCTTAATTTTGATAGTTAGTTATAGGGTTTGGATATGTATTATACATATTGGGAAGAGTTTATGTTAGTCTTTCGTGTTATTGACTTGATTTTTTTTTTTTAATATTGATTTTGTGAATAATGATTAGAACATATGTGATGGATTATTGCATGTGTTTAGAGGAAATAATGGGAAGGCCTGCTTTTGTTTTGGGTAAAGATATTCAATGTCCACGTCCTTTACACCATGAATTGATATGGAATATAGAGAAAGAGAGGAAATCAGGGAGATGATTTATTAGGATAGCTAAAATATAATGTGATCATGTAGCTTAATTCTTGGCGTGATAAAGCTAGCATAACTTGAAATGGTAAGCTTCACTTGTTTTGCAGAAACTGTCTAGAAATGAGAAAAAGAATAGGGAAAAGGTGTGTACCCTGCGAGCATTCTCTTCATCGTGTTGCAGATTGTAATGAAAAGCTGTGGACAAAATAATAGTATTAACAGACATATTGTTCTGTCAATGCAAAGGCCAATTCCGAAAAATATTTCTTGTGTCCTGCTGATGGATTTCCAGTGAGACGTGCAAATAAGAGAAGATTTACCCTCTTCCACTCACCCTTGTTTAGATAAAAAGATGCCATTATACTCAAATTGTCAACCCAAATTCAAACTGATGATATTGAATGTTGAAGCAGATGGTCCAGTTAAAGAGCTAATCAACTCTTATGTCTTTGTATCAACTAATTGCAAATGTTCTTGATAGTGCCACTTGACGCGGTGAAGTAAGAACTACAAATCTTGTAGAGAACGTGTAGTTTTTGAGTTGATACTCAAAAAATTACCTGTTAATTAATCTGAGCTTGTATATTCTGCTCTCAACTGCACGCTTGATTCGGGTGATAAATTCATCAATTGGCATAGTCCCTGCTATGCCTAGACCTAACAGTTACAGTTTGTGTTTCTGCATCTCCATCAATGGGATTTTCTGCTTCTCTCCATTTCTAATAAGTTTCTAAACATGAAGAGGCAACCAATTAAGATTAAGCAGATTAAGAGAAGTGCTAATTCGTTT